TAGGAATGCCCTGGGAACAGGGAGAGTGCAATATGGGGAGGGAGGGGGATTTTTTTGGAGTGATGGGAGCAAAGGATGTAGAGGTCTTCCCCTTCACATCTACCTGTGGGCACCTATGGAGGGACATGTGCAGCTCGATGGCCCATACCCATGTGAAACTTGGCTGCCTTTGGCCTTGCGGGGTCTCTGGACAGAGACTAGTAGTTGCCAGAGGACTTGCTTGTCTTGCTAGCATATCAGCCCTGATATGGAGGACTTGTTCTCTGCAAGCATTAGCATCATTTCCCTGCATTTCTGATGCTTCCATATCTCTGCATCCTCTGCCCCACTTGTGTTTGGGTAGACAGCACTGTGTTTGCAGAGCCCGTGACACAGTGACACCATGTGCAATTTTCACAAGCAGCTAAGAGCTTGCTGGCACTGCAAAGGAGAGCTCTCCTCCTTCCCTGGCCTTCATGCCAGGCAGACCTTCCCCAAGCCGTTTTGGCTCCTCAATCCAGAAGATGCTACCTGCTGTTTTACTTCCTAGCTGGGATAGTGAGTTGAACTGGTTTGTGAGAAGATTGGGTGTAAGGGAAGGGTGGGAGTGAGCAGCTGCTAGGAAGACAGAAGTAGGACTGACCCTCTCTCCCTGGGTGGCACTGAGATGTCGTTTGGCTTATGCCACCTTCCCCTAATACGGTCATCACAAAACAACGTGATGCTGAAGCTGCTTTTTTTTTGTTTTTTTTTTTTTTAACCAATAAGGAAATGTCTGTTGATTCATATGATAATGTGAGCCTTTGCTCTTACTCTTTGTATTCTTTACATTATTAATTAAAGCCAGCCCCATGGCTGCTTAGCTCTGCCTCCCCGGGGGAAGGCGCAAGCCTAGCAGTGCAGGAGGAAGGACCAGTGTCTTGGCAGGAGAGGTGGCAGACGATCAAGGAAATCAGGGCAGCCCCCAACAGGGCGACTGCTGCTCTGCCCGGGAAGGGCCTGGTGTGAGACAGAGGTTGGCTTCCTTCTGCTCAGCAGTGGTCTGCTGGCAAATGACTAACATGCTGGGCTAGCTGGGATTTAACCCCTGTATTCTCACTGTCTGAGGAGGTGTTGGGTGGGAGCATCCATTGGGATGGGGCATTTACCTATGTTTGATAGGAGCAGAATCAATATCCATGGATTTTCTTCTTTCTGAGGGGAAGGCAGAGGTTCCAAGGGTGCATCAATTTGCTCAGCCCACTGGAGTCCATTGTGGTGTGTAGGGCATTGCCTGAGATGATCCGGCCCTCAGGTTTGCTGGCAGAAAGCCCTTGGCCAGCCCCAGCCCTGTGGCCAGACCCCAGGGCTGCGTGGACATCTCTTGGTAGGGCTCCAAGACTAAAGGAGAGTGGTCGTCACAAGCCCTTTTGCACAGTGGGGATCACCTGTCTCGAATCAGGCCTGACTGCAGACCGCTTACCCCTTGAATCAGGGATGACTGATGTCCGCTTTCCCTTCACCAACCTGAAAACAGTGCCTCTGCGTGTCCCAGCCAGCCCCAATGGGATGCTGCTGAAAGCAGAAGAGCTAGGACATGCCCAAAGCAGGGTCTTGGAACCCATACATCTTGGCAGGGATTTTTTGAATCAAACAACGAGACCATGTGCTGTCAGAATCGCACTCAATCCACCTAACAAGAACCATCTCTTTGGGAGAGTGTGCCAAGCTGCTCTCGTGCTCTCCAGTCACAGCCAGGGCAGGGTAAATATTTGGATAATATTAGTTCGTGTGGCGAGAGCAAAACTCCTGCTCATTTCTCTTGCCTTCTGCTAACAGTTCTGCTAATAGCTGTGTGTTTTCAAAGCTCAGGGCTGGCCTGATCTGCAGCCCAGCGTGATGGTGGGCAGCAGAGCTTTTATTGCTGGCTCAGAGCAGGCGCAGCAAAACTGAGGTGAATTGTGCTGTTCAGCTGAATTCCCCCTCGTGACCGATGCCCACGCCGTTGTCTGCACCTCTGTTATTGTTATAGGGAGAGAGCACGTGCTGACATCTGTCAGGAGGCACAGAAAGTTATTGTGCCATTGCAAAGCGCTTTGGAGCGCAGGCGCGGTGGAGGAATGAGCAGGCAGCTCGCCCGCCCGCGCTGCCCGTGGGCAGCTCGGCTTTTTGGTGATGCCGTTCTCCTCAGCGGGCCCGTCCCCAGCACCTCCTCCCTTGCAGCGCTGGGGAAGGACCGAGCGGCTGAGGGCTGACCGGCCTCTGCGTGCTCCGGGTCGCTCCCCAGGGACGTTGCCGCCGGCTCCCAGCCCAGGCAGCTGGAGGTGATGCTGGCGAGGGCAGGTTGAGGGCAGCGCTGTCTCCATGCTGGTGCCCGTGGCGGCAGGGGCCTTGCGGGGCGCTGGGGACTGTCCCCGTGGGACGCGGGGCTGGTCCCCTGCAGACCAAGGGCAGGGCTTGGGCTCGCTGGGTGCTGCTGGGCTCTCCCTGCAGGCATGGGGCAGGCTCTGGCCTGCTGGGAGCACATCCCGTGGCCAGATCTGCATCTCTGGGCTTCCTCCAGGCGCTGGTGGGAAGGGAGGTGCCGCTAAGCACTGCTGACCCTGCAGCTGGGCTTGGTGCCTTCCGCAGGCCTGGTTGTCCTTCCTGCACAGCCCAGCTAGGGGAGCCTGGGAACCGCGGCAGGCTTGGGAGCAGCCTCGGCTCCCACCTCTGCAGCCCTGGTGCAGGAGGAACAGCAGGTGGGAGGGAAGAAGGGAGCTGGAGAATAGAGAAGGAGACAGGAGACACGGGAATGCGGTTGCAGGCTGAGGGGTCTGGCACGGTGCACATGCAGGGTGAGAGCAGTGCCTCATGCTCTGCCCGTGTCCGAGCACGGCCTGGCCGCTGGGATCCAGCTGGGTGGGAGGCGGAGGCTACAAACGGCATCTCAACCTCGGCCTTACCAAACCTCGGACTTTGTCCCTGCGCTGTGGGGGAGCTGGCAGTTGACACGGTCCAGGGGAGAGCCAAGAAAGCCCCTTGACCAGCCTGTCTCTCCTGGTGTACTCCTGGTGGCTGCTCCAAAGCCTTGATGGGGCTCAGCCTCCGTCTGCTGGGCTCCTCCTTAGCTGTAGTGAGCCCTTAGCTCCCGAATGGGTAACCTTCCCTGGGAGGGAAGTGGGTGGCCCTGCCCTGGTAGCTCCGGCCCCTCGCGCTCCCTTGGGAGGGAGCTGCAGGCCTGGGCGTGATGGCTGCCCTGGGCCGGGCTGAGAGGGAGCTGCAGGCCTGGGCGTGATGGCTGCGCTGGGCCGGACTGAGCAGCCCCTGCGGGAGGGCCGAGCATGGGGCTGGGCGTGGGGCAGGGCATGGGGCAGGGCGTGGGGGCAGTCGTGGGGCAGGGCATGGGGCCGGGATGCTGCGGTGACCGGGAGGCTCCTGTCTGTGACGCAGCTGCGCCTCTCGCCGGGGAACAGACGCGGCTGGGTCTGGGGGCGCGTGCGGGACGTAGCCCCCCGGCAGAGCTCCTTGCTCCTCCGTGCCAGGCCCAGGCTGTGGGCAGCCCTGCTCCCTGCCGCGGCCTTGGTGGCAGCCGCTCACTGCTTCCGGCGAGGTGGGAGATACCAGGGGCTCCCTGAGGCGCTGGCTCCTGCTGGGCTTAGGCCTGGTCCACGCTGCCCGTTTACCCCAGCGAGAGGCCCTGGTGCCTAGAGCAGGCGGAGGGCTCGTGGTGGGGCACATGGGACCGCGAAGACCCTTTCTCCATAGGAAGATTCCCTCCTGGCTCCTTGTGGGTGTCCTTGTATGCGCTGCGGCAGGACTTGGTGCCCACAAGGCTTGAGATACGTGGCAGACCGTGACAGCCCTTCCAGCTGCTACCTTCTCCTGCCACTTTAGTTACCTGCAACAAGAGCACTGGGTCTCTGCACCCAACGCTCTCTGTTTGGCTCGGCTGCCCTGCTTTGGCAACCGGGACCCGGCAGCCTCCTTCCCTCCTTCCCCCACGTGCTTCAGGCCTTTGGGAGCTGCTGCTCCAGAAACAGCCCCGCTGGAGCCCAGAGCCCAGCCTCCCTTTGAGGCTTTCCGGAGGCTGCCGGCCCCCTTCCCTCTCCCTGGCCACCCTTGTGGCTCTCTCGGTGCATGGAGCGCCCTGAGTGCAGGGCCAACGTGGGCAGAATCCCGCGGGAGAGCTCTCGGCCTGGGGGGCACCCGCTGGTGTCCCGCATGGGCAGCTTGGGCTGCATGGGGCCGGAGGACAGGGTGGGAGGGATGGATTGCCCGGAGCCATGGCTGCCTAAACAAAGAGGGGGAAGGGAAGGCAGCGGAATGTGAGGAATGTGCCCAGAGCAGATAACCCTCTTCCTGCTGAGTGCTGGGCGCAGCCGAGGCTCCTCGCTGTGCCAGGGGGCCGGGGAGCGGATAGCCGCAGCAGGCGGGAGGGTGGGCAGGGGGCCCGGCCACGGCTGGCGTGCAGCAGGACGGAGGGACGCGCGCCGCGGGCACCAGGAGGGCTCGCGCAGGCAGGTTGCACGAAGTCTGCCCTGCGTCAGAAGGGGCAGAATCTGGCTCCTTGCACCACTTCTTTCGCCCAGAAAGCCAAGGGGGCATCTCATCCCTCCCAGGAGCCGTGGGGTGTGTGCTCGGTGCCTCTCCCTGCTCAGGGGGTGCAGAGGGACAGGCCTGTGCAGCGGGTGTGGGAGAGCTGGAGGCACAGACCTTGCTCTCCTCGCTTTTGCTCCAGCAGGAGCTGGTGCTACAAGGCAGCACAGGAAACATCTATGCAAGACCTGGTGCTAAGTTAAGTCCTACCATTCTCCCAGCACCTGCAGGGCACCAGCAAGGAATGTCCGGCAAGAAAGCTGACTTTCACTAAGCATGCTCAGAGCAAACAGGGCCAGCCTTGGAGCAACTTGGGCCGGCCTTGGGCCTGTCTGCAGTGAGGACTCTTGGACGCTGTGCAAGTGGGAGCTGCCTGCTGCTCTGCTGGAGCCGTATCAGCTGTCTTGAGGTGTCCTTCATAGCCATAGAGAGCAGGAGGCTCTGAGGGTTGAAGCTGGGACTTCCAAGTCCTGTGAATTCTCATCACAGGTAACGAAGTCCATGAAAATAGTGAGATTTTCCCAGTGCTTCTGCGTGCACATAGACGGAATCTGTGATTTCCTAGCCTTTGCCTCTCCTATCCCCATGCCTTACTTAGTGACCAGATTATTTTACCATTGTCAAACTTTTTGTCAGCCAAGGAAATTGAGGCACAGGACTGATAAGTGGCTGCATGTCCAGAAAGGGAATCTAGGAATCTTGACTCCATGTCCTGCTGCTGTCCACTTTGTCCCGTAGACTCTGCTTTCCTCCTCCTAACCCTCCTGCCTGCTTTTCCTGCCCTGCTCCAGGTACCTCAGCAGCCGCCAAGATGTCGAGCAAGCGTGCCAAAGCCAAGACCACCAAGAAGCGCCCTCAGCGCGCCACCTCCAATGTCTTTGCTATGTTCGACCAGTCCCAGATCCAGGAGTTCAAGGAAGCCTTCAACATGATCGACCAGAACCGCGATGGATTCATCGACAAGGAGGATCTGCATGACATGCTGGCCTCCCTAGGTGAGGAAACCCTTCCCCTGCCTCCCACCTCGTGCATCAGTCAGCCCCTCTGCATTAAGATGCCTCTTCTGCAAGGGAAGAGAACTGTCTGGGCACAGTAGTGCCTTGCATGACAGGGAGTCACTGCCACACTCTTGAAGCCTGCCTGAATTGAAAACCCATAGGATTGTACTGATTTAAAGACCTGCTTTGGGCCAGTTTGATGCAGGCCGTGAAGCCTGGGGAACCATCTCTGCTGTTGCTGGTAGACCTTTGAAAACATGTTTGTGGGGACACCAAAAAGCAGTAGCCTCCACTTGAGTGGAGGGTCCACTGCCCACAACAGCTAGCAGCAGCAGATGCCCTGGCAGGGATTGGCCTCCTCCTCAGCCCTGCAGCCAGTACCAGCTCTCAGCAGCCCTTCTGCTAGGACCAATGTGCACAGCAACGTCCCCTCTGCAAAAGGATACCTGCACAGCAGGGGACTTAACCGTGTACAGAGACTTCTGCCCAGCTCTGCTGTCCCAAATCTTTTCATCTCTACCTATAATAGTACTTTGAAGAGGCAGCGGGTTCAACTGCCAGGCGTAAGATTTGTGTCAGCAGTGACAGGGTGCTGCAGCAGACCTGCACTCTCAGATGGGTCCCCATGGGAACTGGGATGACTCTGGACGCAGGCAGAGCCCACAGATCAAGACAGAAGCTTTGGGAAAGCACAGGTTTCCTAGTGGCATTCTTTGCTAGCTCTGCCCAGTCTTGTCCTATAGGTTGCCCAGCACAAAGGCTGCCTGTGGATCCAGGTGAGAAGCCGGATACTGCGGCCCGTTGAGACTTGCATATCTGGCCTCTCTCCCCACCCAGGGCCCTTTTTTTGTTTTTTCTTTAGCTACAGGCCATGGTTCACTTTTCCCTCTCCCGTTCCCTGTGCTACCTCTGTGGCTCCTTGGGAGGTCTGTCAATTATTGACCTGGCAACCAAACCTGTTCTGAAGGCCCTGTCCAACCGGGAGGGAGTCTCCTCCCCATACACTACAACTTTCGGAGCCTGGAAGGGGACATGCCGGGCTCAGCACCGTGGGTTAAGCTGCCCCTGTTGCATTCGTGGTAGGCACATTGCGTGGGGTTCCCACAACAGGAGGTTCATGCTGGGACTGTGCTGCCCCTCTCCTTGGGTCAATGCTGGGTATCCTTGGTAGATGCTGAGTATCTCCCTTGCATTTAACAGGGGACAGGGGACCTGGTGGCTGCAGAATTTGGTGGGATTTATCTTCTGGGGAGCTGGGCCTAGCTAGCTTGGGAACCTTGATCCTGCTGCTTTCCTGGGAAGGGGAGGCTGCTGCCCAGTGCAACGCTGAGGACAGAACTGCAGGTATTTGGGTGGGAGGAGCACTTGTTTTTTTCTTTCTCGCCCCTAACTGAAGTGAGACAGATAGAGGAGGAAACATTTGGGGACCATCAGGCATGTCCTGAGTGCATCCTGAGGTGCATGTATTCAAGCTTAGACACAGGTCAGGCAGGTTATGATTCAAACTGAAAGCATCCATGGGGGTATCCCACTGTGGACTTTCTTCCTGAGAGCAGGAGCACGAGGCTGTGCTGTCCCAGTGGATCTTGGCAGGAGGATGGGTGCCCCCAGGGCAGGGAGTGCTCACAGCTGCTGCTTATGTCTGACAGGGAAGAACCCCACTGACGAGTACCTGGAGGGCATGATGAGTGAAGCACCAGGGCCCATCAACTTCACCATGTTCCTCACCATGTTTGGGGAGAAGCTGAATGGTACCGACCCAGAAGATGTCATCCGCAATGCCTTTGCCTGCTTTGATGAGGATGCGACAGGTAGGAGCTCTGTCTTCCCGGCTTTGTGGTGGGCACTGGTGCTTACCTGAGGACCCTCTTGCACACAAATGGGTGGCTGAGCCAGCACATTGCACCAGGCAAAGCCTTGGGAAGAGTCCGCAAGCAGGGCAGCTCCTGAGCAGCCTGCTGGCTCTCCCTGCTTCCCCATCTCATCACACATCTGCGTGATGAGGGCCCCGTGCAAGCGGAGCATGCCCGGGTTTTGGGGGTGGGTGGAATAACAGGATGGGGATGCAGGAGCATGCAGGAGGATTAGAAAGGCCCTACCTCTACCCAGTCCTCCTAGCATGTCCTGCCCAGCCACAGCTCTCCTGCACTCCTATGCCCCACCTGAACTCTGCTGTCTCCATAGGCTTCATTCACGAGGACCATCTGCGTGAGCTGCTGACCACCATGGGAGACAGGTTCACAGAAGAGGAGGTGGATGAGATGTACCGGGAGGCTCCCATCGACAAGAAGGGCAACTTCAACTACGTGGAGTTCACACGCATCCTGAAGCATGGGGCCAAGGACAAAGACGATTAGTGCCTAGAACTGCTACACTGCCTCTGTCTCCTCCTGCACACACCTCCTGTCCCCGTTGCCTCTGTTCCCCTTGCTGCCTAGCCCCACTGCAGGCACACCCCATGGGAAATATCCTCCAGGACTTGACTTTTCTCTGGATTACACTTCTGTTGGCACATGATCCTGCACCCTTTCTAGAGAAAGTGCTCCTATCACTATTCCCCTCTCCTAAACATCCGTACTAAACCTCTCCCATCTCCTCTCCCACCCAGAGGCTCTCACCTCCCAGCCCCATAGACACTGTGCAGAGTCTTTGTGCCCCCACTAAGACCCTCCTTGGGATGTCTTGTGTATATCCAGCTCTTGCAAAATACACTGTCTTTCTGATGTGTCCACCTGACAGGGGACAAGGTTGGCCTTTTCCTTTGGCCCCTGTCCAGGGAGAACAACCAGCAAATTGTCCACCATCTCCTTTGACAAATTTTGCTTAAAGATCCTACTTGGATAATTTGATTTCTGAGTCATTGTGGTGCTGTGCTCCTACCTGCCTTGCTTGTTACCCATCCCATGCACGGGAAGCACCTGAGCATGAGAGCTTCTCCTGTGTGCTGTGTCCCAGGTTGTCCTTGCCTGGAGGACACTGCCACGGGTGCTCCTCACATGTCCTGGAACCCTTTTCACAGCCTCTGGCTCCATCACACTGTCCTGCTTTGCATCTGGATGGCATCTTGCAGCAGAGATGAGCCCAGCGTGCTCATGGCATCCACAGCCTCCCCTGCATGCCGGCCGCTGCGCCAGGACGGCTGGTATGGGTGTGTGCACAGAAGGGTGGAAGGGCTTTTCCCTCCCATCTGTGCTGATCCGCTGACGATGTGGGGCTGCATCCCTGCCATGGCCTCACGGTGGGTGGTTGCAGGGACACACACGCCTGTCGCGGGAGGCGGGACGGGGGGCTGTGCTTGCTGTGCTGCCGTGCCCTGCCTTCTTTGCGCTTCTCAGCACCAGGGCCCCCGGCAGGCGTGGACCCCAGCAAGAGCTCCCTGAAGCCATTGAGTAGCACGGTAGTCACCCCTCCAGGGCGAGTACGGGGGAGTCTGCCCCCAGGCAGGGAGCTGGTGTGGGAAGGAGCATCCCAGGTGAGTGCTAGTTTGTTGGATAGTCCAGTGCAATCCCAGTCTTGAGGGACACAATAGAAAGAGGCTCTAGCCTTTCCTCCCACACTCTTCCTTTATGAAAGGAGAAAAGGGGAAAAAAAAAACCCCACTTTATTTCCTTTTCCATGGGTGTGTTATGGCTGGAGAGCCTATGATTTAGGGCATTCAGAAAGCTGAAGTTGTGTATAAAGTCTGACGGGTGTGATAGGACGCCGCGAGCAGCTGCCCCGTCTGGGCGCAGCGCTGCTGCTGCGCGGCCGAGCGGGAGGCTCGAAGCCCAGCTCCCACCGGGAGCCCTCAAATCCCCCTCGGCACCGGCTCTCCCTGACCCGCTGCCTTCTCAGGGTAGAGCCCCTTCTCTTTCCATCAAGGGCAGTCTCTTCTGAAGACAAATTCCTCCCAACCTGTCTCCACCAAAGTCCCCTGCCTATATAAAGGTCTTGCAGCTTAAACACCTTTTTCAGTCTTTGCTGGTGGAAGAGGGCTTGCTCTTCTACCCCCACTTGGGAACGTGCAGAGAGATGCTTTGACATACGGGGAAGTCATTGGAAAAGGTGCCAGATGGCATGTCTTGCTCTGGTTGCAGAGCCGCTAAAGTCTTGGCGTTGGTAGAGATCAACATGGGCTCTACAGTCTGAGTGATACGCTGGAGGTACCGCTAGAAGAGCCTTGAAACTAGAGGTCTGTGAAGCAATTGGCCCCAAACCTCTTTCTGGTGACTGGAGGAAGCTTATTCGTGTCAAAGGGTGGTGCTTTGGTCATCCGAGCCCTGAGGGAACCTGGGGATCAGGGTTGAGACTCTCAGAATCAGACTGCCCAGGCGGGGATGTATGGAAGAAAGACCCAGCTGATGCATGTGCTGCTCCTGCCCATAAACACCCACCAGTCTGTCACATATTCCCCTGTTCATCACCAACACCCCCGTTCAAATTAGTGCTGCATCTGTCCACGCAGATCTCCTGCGCTGCCAGGCTGTTAGGGCAGTGTGTGCCCTGCACCACCAGACCTTCTCCTGCTGTCAACTCCGCTGTGTTGTCTCCTTGGTTTGGTTTACACCGTTGTGATACAAGGGCAAAGGGAGCAGGGGGTTCATGCTTGAATTTAGCCAACTTCCATCCTCTCAAAAGATAAGTATTTCGCAGCAGAGAGCGGTGTCTGTGTTTGAGACATGGTAAAGCACAATCACAAAACCACAAAAGTGACAGAAGGGCATAGCCCAATTTTCAGAGACACAGAGAAGTGAAAGGACAAACATGTGTCCAGGGAACGCTGCTATGACGTGTTCCCCAGACCTCCAGTCTGATCCCAGGGCCTTGCCTAGAGCTCTGCAGCAAGAGCTAGCTCCAAAGAGGCCTAGCTCTGTGCTTGCAAGTCAAAGCAGGAAGCCTTGCTCATTCCCTAATTGCACGTGCCTACTAGGAGAAAAGCATGCAGTTCTTCAGCTTGCAGAGCAAATTCCCAGGTCTGAAGGCCACTGAAGAGCGGGATGCTTTGTAAAACAGCCTCTTCACTAGGATGTACACCAAAGTGGATTTCTCACAGACATCCTTTAGGTACAGGTCAGATCCTGGAGATGAACCAAATGACGTGGAAAAGATCCTCCAACTTTTCCAAGGTCTCTGCCGTGCTGTGGGTGAGCTGTCCTCTGGATATAGCTGTGTCAGGGAGGACCACTCGGCCTTACTGACCTCCTGACAGATCAACATATGTGAACATCACACAGGTTCTCCCAAGTAAACCATCAATATCAGGAGCTTGAAGGGTTTGCTGTCTGTCCATCTCCATCAGCAAGAGGAAGGAAGGAAGGGAGGAAGGAAGGATAATCACATGACAGATATTACTAAGAAAAGAGAGGATACTAAGAGATCAGCGTTCTGACACTGTCCGAGTCCCTGGATCACCCACACCTCGTGTATGAGCTCCAGTTCTGGTACCTTTCCCAGCTTAAAAACAGTAGAGCTGATTTGAAAGTGTTCAGCAAAGGACACAAGAGGAAAGACCAGCCCCTATGCAAGGAAATAGTGAGCAGGCTCAAGGAGTCTTCAGCCTGGAAGGGAGATGAGCAAGGAGGAGGGCAGGGCTGCGGGCTGCGTGGGGACAGTGCTGCTTCCTGCTCTTCCAGCACAAGCACTGCGGGGCGTCACACGGAGCTGCCGAGTACCAAATAAACAAGCAGTTCTGCACACAGGTGTGATGAAGCTGGTGTTTGCTGTCAGGAACAGCATGGGTGCTAAGAGTCTATGGGGTTTCCATGAAGAATGAGTAAGTTTGCAGAAGGGAAAGCTTCTGAGGGAAACTGAAGATGCAGGAGCCATGTCTGGTTCAGGAAATCACAGAATCACAGAATACTCAAGGTTGGAAGGGACCTCTAGAGATCATTTAGTCCAACCTTCCCGCTCCAGCAGGCACACCTAGAGCATGTGGCACAGGGTGGCATCCAGGCAGGTCTTGAAGACCTCCAGAGAAGGAGACTCCACAACCTCCCTGAGCAGCCTGTTCCACTGCTCTGTCACCCTCACAGTGAAGAAGTTCCTCCTCACCTGGAGATGGAACTGCCTGTGTTTCAGCTTATGCCCATTACCCCTTGTCCTATCGCTGGCCACCAATGAGAAGAGCTTCTAAATTAGAGGCTCTTAGGGAGCTGGGAGCTTCTCCCAAGCTGGGGTAAGGATCATTCACTCTTGCTTTACTCTCATTCTCTTCTTTAGGCACCTGCTTCTAACCGCAGTGGGAAATGGGATGCTGGAAGGGGTGCTCATCCCCTCCAGCATGGCACTCCATAGCTCTGCTAAACCAGAAGGGCTTTGACCCCTCTTCTCCTCCTGGAAAAGGAAGGTCATGCTCCACATCCATGCACATGGATGTTTCCCACCCTCCAAATGGACATCAGTTTTACAGTAATTTCAGCCTCATCAGCGCAGCCCCCGCCTCCCCCATGGGCCTGTACTTACGTCATGTTGCCCCTGAGCTTTCCAGTCAGCGCTGCTCAGTTTCATAAAGTCAACAGGTTTCAAACAGAGGAAAAGGAACCTAAGGGCATGCGCGTAAAGGGGCTCTGCCGGTCAAGCATAGCAATGCAGAATGAGCTTGGCTGGTCCAGGTGACTGTGGGAGCGCAGGGCCAAGGCCACATGCTCCTGAGGTCATTGTGTAGGTCTTGGTCCTTCCAAGTCCTCCAGCTGGAGGAGCACAAGTCCTTCCACTTGATAATAGAGGGCAAGACTTTCTCTTGAGCCCTGTGAGAGAGCCTAAATCCAGCCTCTGTCTTGGGACTGGAAATGTCCTGGTGACTCCAGTCCATGTGGCTGTGCCTCCTTGTTGGGCGCAGGATCATGGGACAACACAGGGTGGAAGGGACCTCAGCAGGGCACAAGATCAACCTCCTGAATGAAGAGAGGTCAGCCACAAAGTCAGACCAGGTTGCTCAGAGCTTCAGCCAACCTGGGCTCCCCTTCTCCATTCTTTCCCCCTCTTGCACCAGTGAAATCCAGGTGGATACTGCTCACAAATTCTTGAAGACAAGAACCACAAGTGCTTGGGTCCTTATTTGTAGCAGCCTCCGGATGGGTAGTTTTCCCTTCTAGGGCTGGGCTGGGCAACCTGCCCATTCTCAGGCTCTTGTCCCTGGCTCACAGCTCCATAAAACCTCAGAAGAGCCTCTGCATACAATTGCTTTTAAAGCCTCACAGATGGACAAAAACAGGAGAAAGGGGTTAGAAGTGGGGGGAAATTGTGTTTATTCTACGAATCTTAGAAGTATTCTAATGTTGCTGAGCTGTTTGTGAAAACCACTGAGTTTACACACTGAGCTGATTCAGAAAAAGGCTGAGAAATCCCTAGAATACATCCAGCTGGGAAACAGCTGTTTTAAGCTGGTAGTAAAACATATGAGATAATTTTAGGTTCCTGCTCACCTTGTCTGGAGTCACAGAGATTTGGGGTCTAACAGGAGGGTCCCAAGAGCAGAGAGGGGCATTGTTTTTTATTAGGACATCTATTTTTTTTTCCAAAATTTGAAAAGTTTAGTTAGGACATAGAGGAAAAGAACAGATGTAGAAGAAAGGGGGAAAAGGGCCCCAAAGGAGAAACTCAAAACATTTACTTAAACATGACATTTGGACTCTTCCCTTTCAAAACCCATCAAAACATAAAGCTAAAAATGCTCTTTAGAAGGCTGAAAGTTCCTGAAATTTCTTTGTCATCCTCTTCTCCCTAGATTATTTTATTATTATATGATTTTATGGAGAAGGGAAAAAAATAAAGTCTCATTTTAGATGAATCATCTTTGAAAAATTCCCCTCACCGAAGAGCCCCCAGTCCAAAATGAAAAGAGAGCAAAAGGGTGAGAAGGTCACACATTCCTGGAAGTGAAACAACCCGCTTTTACAGCTCTTTGCAAACACTATTTTGTGTTACTAGTGCCAGACCTTTGCCTCCTGGCTCCTGACAGGGTGCCCTGTGCTCCAAGCCAGCTCAGTTTTCCCCACCTCAATGCGCTAAACCAGGATGAGGCAGCAGGAGATGAGGAGAGGACAGGAGCTCGGGCAAACGGGTCTCAGGGTCTGGATCAAATACAAGAGCAGAGGCAGCGTTTCAGACCAAGGAGCCATCCAGTCTGAGAGGAAGGAAGCATCGTGGCTTTGTGGTGATGAAGCATCAGGACGTTCAGCTGGAGAGACTTTGGTCTCATCTGTCCAGCTGTCCTTGTGGGTACCAGAACCATTTCCCCTCAACGACCTCTCGAGTTTGCAGATGTGTTTCTATTAGCCCCTTGCAATGCTCAGAGCCCTACGTATACTTTATGGTTTGCCACTCCTGTTGTTACCTGAGCATCTTCCCCTGGCGTTGTCCGCTCGTGCCTTCCCTGCCATTTGCAATCATGCAGAGATGGGTGGAGATGCCTTCCTGGTCGTACGCACCAGCCCACGTCAGCAGCACTGCTCTGGCTCTGCACCTTTCCGCACAGCAGCGACTCCCCTGCCTGGCACTTGGAGCGATGGCAGCGCCAAGGGCAATGCCACGGCCTCTGAGGACACGGTGGCCTTGGAGGTGGAGCACGGCGAAGGGAAGCCAGAGTGGTCCATGGGCTGGTGCTTGCAGCACAAGGGCAAATCCTCCTTGTTTGCTTTGGCATGAGTATTCCCCATCACATTTCAGCCTCCTTGATAAAGTCACTTCATCCAAACAGGGAGAAAGAAACATTACCAAAACCGAGAACTTTTAT